TGATAAACCATCGCGTTTGAAGGCCATTTTAATGTTGCTCAGAGAATTTTTTGTTTGTTGTTCGAGTGCAACAAGCATATGGTTCATCTCGTCACTCCAGCTCAACATTTTTAAGTTCCTTTGAACAGAATAATGAAGAAAATCGTGTATTTTTATCAAACATGACTTGGAGCTATTTTGAAATATGATTCTTACCTTACACACGTTTGGATCCAACAAAATGAAATGTTCTTATGCAAATAATGGAGTGTTTGAAACGAATTCAAGACAGCAAAGTGGTATTTCGATGAAAATATGAGTTTATTTCTTTAGATTTGATGCTTTCCAATTGAAACGTGTCCAAGACGTGTTGTGTACAACAGCACATGAAATAGAAAGAAGACGCTATTTAGTGCCAATTATCAATGACAAGCTGTCAAAACTAATTCGCTGCATTTTAGTTCAAGGCGCAATGGATTCAGTTGCGGCGAGATAGACAGAAATGTTCGGGTGGATTTGGAAGTCGAAGCAAATTGAATAGATTTGAAGATATTTTATTTCTTAACAATATTGTAAATTCAAAAACGAATAAATTAAATAATCCTTATCAAATATGTTAACTCAAACAAAATGGATTATTTTCTATTTTAATATTCTTATTGAAACGAGCATGCGGTGTGTGTCCGAATTGAGTCCAGTGTGGCAATTTGAAATTTATTAGATATTTCTAACTTAAACAATGAAAGAGTCAATTTAAAAATGATATAAATAAATGTCATTGAATTATTTCCTATTGAATGAAATGAGAGCCTTCAAAAATTCTGATTAATTATTAGATAAATTATTTATGGCATAATGAGATTGATGATGAGCTAAATTGCAGTTTAAATGAGATAATTTCCAGAATAAGATTGACTTTGGGAAAAGGTTGTATGAAAAAGCCAAAAATCTTAATTTATTGTGCACTCAATACTCAGTCGCCATGGAACTATATTGGAACAATAACGGCAAATAGGAATTATTATTTGAAATTCGTTATCCAAACTGAATAGTTGTGGAAAATCGTATTTTTAACGATTGCAAAAATGTATTCAAGATTTCTGCTGTATATACTCAATCGAATATGGCGACGAGAAATGACGATATGAATGAGATGTGCCTTTGTGCTGTATCGATGTAGTTGTACATACAATTACGTCACTGTAGTGCACAAAAACAGACCAACTGAGCCGATGTTCGAATCGCGATTGAAAAAGATCTCACTACCACAGCGGAACACTTTGTAATCTGTATCCAGCCACCAGTCACGTGTAGTTTTTTAGTGAAAAAAGAAGCCTTTGAAGATTGGAATTCAACATTTGATTGTAACTTATAAACTTAAGAAATCTGTCTTTAAAAATTATCAAAATTGTGGCGAAATTTCATTTTAATTGTTAATTTAAATGTTGCTCGCTTAATTTCTAAACTGTTTACATTGAAGTTGAGTTCTGGATCCGTCACTGCTTGCGATTGACTTTAATATGCCAACCATACATCACACTAAGCCATGAATCATATTTCTCGATTGATGCATGAAATTCTGAGCCCAGACGCTTTTTCAGATAATCGAAATTGAAACTGTCCTTGACATGGAAACCATAGCTCAACAAATTGAATTTTTCGATGAAACGAAATATTTCATCAACCGTGAATATGGTTCCAAAATGGTTAAATTCCTTCAGTAGTGGCAAGTTCTGTGCAGCTTCAGTTATGATGACTTCGCTGATGCGGGCGTCTCCAGTAAATAACTGCAATGTAATTTTTTCGATCGATTGATTTCTCTTGAAGAAGTTGGACCATTTGTGTGAGTTAATCAACGGCAACAATTCAGACGTGTATCGGAATGTGATATCTTTAAGCTGACCAAATGTTATCATATTTTCTTCTGATGTCATCAAACTTTGATCATCCTTCCCAATTTTAATATCCAGTTGTTTCAATGCTGGAAAATTGAGCGCAGTATTAATATTTTCAAATACACCAGACGAAGAGCAACGCCCGATCTGAAGACATTCCAATTGGGCAAGTGTTTGACATGTCTTCCAGAAATCTTTGGGTGGATCATACACCCACAAATTTATGCTGCGAAGTTGTGGGTTATTTCGCAAGGAATTGCAAATATTTTCGGAGGGAATATCGCGGTAGCAACGAATTTCCAAATGTTCCAACTGTGGTATATTCTTCACGATGAACATTCTCTTAGTAAGCGTCGAACACCAATTCAATTCCAAACGACGCATTGCCGGAAACCATTTCTTGAAATTCGTATGTGCATATAATCTGCAGAAGTTCAATTTAGCAACATCAACGTTTGAAAATGAGTTTTGCAGTAAGTTGTTTCTGATGGAAGAGTCACGAATCTGGATGGCAGTTAACGAATCCAAACAGTATTCATTTGTATAGTCAATTAACTTCTTGCCCAATTCGTCGGAAGTACATATACCCAGTTTGGTGATTAAATTACCAAAACAACGCAAAAATCGCAATTGCATTTTCTTGTCATCAATTTCAATACTGTCCCCGTTTGAAAAATAATGTCTCTTTTCATTTAGTAGGAAATCCATTTTGCCAAATTTGCGCTGGAATGCCATGTCGACGGCCGGCTTCAGCTCTTTGTTTGTGTGCGCAATGTTCAAGAGATCTTCGAGACTCAAAAGCATAAAGATTCGCTCAAGACAATCATCCACCACATCCGTCAGCTTCATTGACTTTGTTGTTGGGTCTTCACCATCGTCAGTTCGTGGATGCTTTGGCTCTGGTTCATTTGTTTCTTTTAGTTGACGTTTTGCTACCAAATTTGCTTTTTGTTCAGCCATCTTCTATTGGATAAGTTTGAAAATATACAAATTAGCCTCAATACTGTTCATAACATAAGACCATAAAATCAAAGATACGAAATTTCTTTCAAAATATACTCACTGTGAGGAAGTTTTAATTTGGAAGTTTTATACTCACTGTGAGGAATTAACTTTCTGTGGAAGGTTTTTAATGTAATCTAAAAATTTTAATGACGCAAATAAAAATCCAAGTCAACACTTTATGCTAAAGATGGCGACGATAAATGATGAATTGGCGAATTTAGATCACCTTTGTACTTTGGCTGTCACGAAGTGAATGTACGGTTTCGTTACTGTGCAGCACGCACGCACACAATCAAATCAACTGAATCAATGACAGACCAGTGTTGTCGCTTTTAAACTAGACCAGTTCACATGTCATTTTTCGAAAAGCCACCAAACTCCGCATGTTCGAATCAAGCTTAATCGCGAGCTTTAAATTTTTGTTGTAAATTCAAATATTATCTTTAAATGTATTATTTTATTTAATATTCGGGTTATCTTTTTTCCTTATTGAATCAAAAAACATTTGAAGATAGAAACTTTGTTTTAGAAAGAAAAAGATTTTTTATTTGATAATTGGTAACAAACGCACAACGTGTGATTATTTTGGTCAAGTTTGAAAAAAGAATTGATTGAATTTACTGAGAAATTGCGAATGTAAAAAATGGCATAAAATGCAATTTGTACAATGTACATGCATCTGATGAATTTATGTGTTGAAAATGTCATTCAAATAAAATGTTCATTCAGATGGCGAATTTGAAGTCCGAGCCTTTTAAATGTGCAGCTGTCCACTCATCAAATTTCTTGATGTATTCCTCACTCATTACATCAGCGAATTCACCAGCCTTTCCGTTTCGAAAGAATCTGAATAGAAATTTAGTGAATATGAATTTTGATAACGATAACAAAGCGGTTCGAAAATGTTTCTTTCATTCCTCTTTAACGCTTACTGAAATCCATTCAATGGTTTGTTATAAAGTTTCCGCATATTCTCGATCGAGCTATATTCCATGAGCTGTTTCAATTCATCTTCTCCGTACGTGCATTCTAGAAATTTGGCATTTCTTTGAACTGCACCAAATTGATCGGTCAATTGTTCCTCATAGTTTAAAAACAGAAAATGATCCAAATTACGAAGTTGCCAATTTGCAAGAATATGGACATGAAATGGTGCATATATAGTTCTATTATCCAAGAATATATCGAAATATTCTTCCATGGTTCCTGGAAAGAGTTTGAAACAATCTCGTGTATGATGAAAATATGAAAGAGCCACGTCCTATGGATTACGTGCACTGTAAATGATTTTCGGTCGAATCGTCCATAATTCTATCGGCAATAGATTTGGTGGTAAATGTGATAGAATCACTCGCGGTGACAGTGCATTATTCAAAAATTCAACATCTTTATTTCCAGCCTCAATATTATCAACCAGTGGCTTCGTTTCACGTTCTAGAATAGGACTAGTCTTCAATGCAAGCGGTTCTTCCGAAAAATCAAAACCATTCTTCAACTGCCAAACAATATTCTCTGTCCATGTGCTGCCGGATTTCGGGTGTCCAAGAATCCACACATCGTCACTTCTTACTTTGAATGTTCGATAGTCAAATATTTAAATCTGGTTTGCGAAAAACATGGCTCGAACTTATAATCTTTTGGGAATGGCAAATGTTTATTTGCCCAGGGTTTTGTATTTGCCAATAGAAATGTGTTTTTATTATCATTGTTCAATGATTTTTTGCCAACTGGCGTTTTCACTTCCTCAAAAATGTAGGGATTGGAGTTTTCTTTATCCAAATTAGAGGTTGAATAGAGCATTTTGATTTCAAGAATTTTGAATAATTAAACTCTTGGTTTACACTCTTTTTATATATTGTAGAAGAAGAGAATCAAACACACCGATTCGAATCCAAAATACGACCAAATCACTTTATTGAATTCAATAAAGATGGATTACAATTAATGTGCCTTTTGCAATACAATAACGAATGTGTGCAATACAATAATATCTAATGTGCAGTAGAGTGGTTCGATTTTGACATTTTTTCAAGCATCAAAAATCGTACCCCTATAACCTGCGTAGGAAGGTCATAGAAACATGACTATAACATCGAATTCGAAAAAAAATGATTTTTGGTGATGCGCGGCTCCAGTCGGTTTTTTTAGAAAAAATCAAATTTTTATGAATTTTGATGAATTTTGAGCACTTTGAAAATTCAACAAAAAATGGTCCCCCGGGGTTTTTTTGGCACGAGAAAACCGATTCTGACCTTAATTTTGTAATACAATTAATATTCGACACTTAATATACATACAACACATTTTCAGACCCCGAAGGGCAATCGCACTTTGAACACTGCAGTTGCGCTGCTCTCTGACATTTATACAATAAGTTCAACCCTATGTAAAGACATTGCTTTCCTCTTCTTCTTCATTTGCAAGAAGCATGTGCGTTATAGCAGCTTAACTTTAAGATACCAGGTGGCAGCACATCTGCGTGTTCGAAACCCAATACATTGCTTTAAATGAAGTGCGAGCAGAGCGTGATTTTGCCAGTTATAAACGTCTTCAAGGTGGCATTTACTTCGTCGATTCGATACCAATGACTGAGACCAAAAAATTTGCTCGTCGATCAGCTATTCAATTAGCCATTGAGCTGTTTAATCAAAGAAAGCAGTAATGTCCTTTGTGTGAAAAGTGACTGGTATTTTTTTGATGAAAAGTAATCAAATTTATTGAATCAAGAATGATCAATGTGGGAGTATCGTTAAGCATATATTTAAACTGTGTCTTGAGATAACTATAGTGAAATGATTTGATTTGAGTGCACGTAAAATAACGAACGCCTATTCGTTTGTATGTCATTCTCTGTATATTATCTTAATTGGTAATCACTGTTGCTGCAAAGTCGCTAACAATTTAACAATATTCATTTTTTATGTCCTATTTTGAGGTTGGATAGTAAAAGTAATGTAATGAAAAGTCAATTTTAAAACGATTTATTCTAATTTTCTTGATGATTGAGTCAATACATTGTTTATTACGATAGATCTAGCTATAGATGGTTAAATTTAACGTTCGATAGATGATTGAAACTTAATAAATAAACGAAAAATTATCAAAATTACAGAATAATTTCATTTTAGTTGTTAATTTAAATGTTACTCGCTTAATTTCTAAACTTTTTGCATTGAAGTTGAAGTTGAGTACTGGATCCGTCACTGTTTGCGATTGACTTTAATACAGGAACCAAACAATATAGATGATTTATCTTCTTCGATTAATACATGAAATTCTGCGCCCAGATGCTTTTTCAGATCATTGAAATTGAAACTGCCCTTGACATGGAAACCATAGCTCAATAAATTGAATTTTTCGATGAAACGAAGTATTTCATCAACCGTGAATGTGGTTCCAAAATGGTTGAATTCCTTCAGTAGTGGCAAGTTCTGTGCAGCTTCAATTATGATGGCTTCGCTGGTGTGGGCGTCTTTAATAAATGACCGCAATGTAATTTTTTCGATCGATTGATTTCTCTTGAAGAAGTTGGACCATTTGTGTGAGTTAATCAACGGCAACAATTCAGACGTGTATCGCAATGTGATATCTTTAAGCTGATCAAATGTTATCATATTTTCTTCTGATGTTATCAAAATTTGATCATCCTTCCCAATTTTAATATCCAGTTGTTTCAATGCTGGAAAATTGAGCGCAGTATTAATATTTTCAAATACACCAGAAGAAGAGCAACGCCCGATCTGAAGACATTCCAATTGGGCAAGTGTTTGGCATGTCTTCCAGATATCTTTAGGTAGGAAACACGCACGCAAATATAGGCTTCGCAATTGTGGATTATTTCGCAATGAGGTGCAAATATTTTGCACGGGAATATTGTGGTGGCAACGAATTGTCAAATGTTCCAAATGTGGTATATTCTTTATGTTGAACATTCCCTTAGTTAAATTCGAACACCAATTCAATTCCAAACGACGCATTGCCGGAAACCATTTCTTAAAATTCGTATGTGCATACAATCTGCAATCGCTAAATTCAACAACATCAACGTTTGAAAATGGCTTTTGCAACAAGTTGTTTCTGATGGAAGAGTCACGAATCTTGATGACAATTAACGAATCGAAACAGTATTCATTTGCATAGCCAATTAGCTTCTCACCAAATTCGTCGGAAGTACATATACCTAGTTTGGTGATTAAATTACCAAAACAACGTAACAATCGCAATTGAGTTTTCTTGTCGTTGATTTTAATATTGGCACCGTTTGAATATCTTCTGTTGTTGTATAGTTCCCATTCCATTTTTCCAAATTTACGCTGGAATGCCATGTCTGCGGCCGGCTTCAGTTCTTTGTTAGTGTGTGCAATGTTCAAGAGATCTTCGAGACTCAAAAGCATAAAGATTCGCTCAAGACAATCATCCACCACATCCGTCAGCTTCATTGACTTTGTTGCTGGGTCTTCACCATCGTCAGTTCGTGGATGCTTTGACTCTGGTTCATTTGTTCCTTCTGGTTGACGTTTCACTCCTTTTTGATCAGCCATTGCCTATAAAAAAAAGTACAATATATGACGTCACTATCGCACATTCTATACCCAGACATGGGCCCAAATATATATAATAGATTTTTTTTCAAAATGTTTGCTTCAACCAATGTCCAACTGAAAAAGTGTTATGAAATACTCTGATTAATTATTTATGGCATAGTGAGATTGAAAAAGAGCCAAATTCCAGTTTAAATAAGATGATTTCCAAAATAAGATTATCCTTAGGAAAAACCGTATGAAAATGACAAAAATCTTAATTTATTGTGCACTCAATACTCACTCGTCGTGGAATATATTGGAAAAATAACGGGAAAGTGGATCAAGTTGTTAATTTAACTTCGTTGGTTGTTCAATCCGAAAAATACGATTTAAAGATGGCAAAAATTTATTCAAGATTTTCGTTGTACACACTCGAAGATGGCAACGTGACATAAATGACTTGTGCTGTGTCAACGTGGTTGTATGATTGATACGTCATTGCGCACACTAACACACCAGCTGAGTCGATGTTCAAATTGGCAAACAGTGTTGTCGCTGCCACAGCGGATCAGTTTTTTTATTGTTTTTCGAAATAAAGCGAATCACTAAAACAAATGAAATATAACCTTCACTAAACACGAAATAAGAGTGTATGCAAATTGAATTTTTAGATTTTATGAATAATATTTATTGAAAAATTCAGAGAAAAATCGTAGAGTAGAATTTTCGAGATATGAGTTATTTTAACATAACAAATTCAATGTTTCAAAATGTCGCATGATGTTCATATGTGTATTGCGTCTTAGTTTGATAGAGTTCATTTGAAATCATGAAGAAGATCGTATTGGATGATTGGATTTAATGATTGATTCTAGTGTGTATGGTGTTCAAATGAGTCTTCAGACTGCCTTTTTGCGTAAAACTCTTCAAACAAATCTCACATCGAAACGGTTTTTCGCCGTTGTGTGTTCGCATATGCCTTTTGAAATCATTTTTGTTGGCAGTGACATACTTTTTGCAGATATGGCATATCGACGTGATTTGCACACTTTTTCATGGGCTTTTTGGTCGTCCTTTTGGGAAAATCCAGTGAAACAACCTCGGCAATGGAACGGAATTTCATCAGTGTGATTCACTTTGTGCCTTTCCTTGTTACTTAGCTGGGAAAATTCTTTACGGCAAACCTCACATCGATATGGTTTCTCACCGGTGTTAGCATATTTCGATTGATGTTGGGCTTATAATTGCTGGCATATTCACAAAGTTGGCACTTGAATCGCTTCTTCATCTGCAATTGGTTTCCAACACCGCCTCTTGGACGTTTCGTTAATGGTGCTGCAATATTTTTGCCTTTGGCGATGTTTGATTCGTTTCTTAATGTAACAGTGGATGTGTCTTTGCTTGCTATTTTCATTTTTGGTACAATTGCTGGAATACTATACTCCATTTCTGCTCCTTCCACATTCACTGGGCCGTCCATTTCAGAGTAGCTTCCATCGTCGACGCTTCGATCATCATCGTTTAGTTCAGGTGGTATGTCATGCCATTTTCAGTTGATCTTCTTCGTCGCTTGAGTCGATGACTTCAACTGGATCTTCTTCACTGATACCGTTATTGTCATGACTTTTGGTAAGCACCTGAGAATAATAGGTGGTTGACGTGCTTCCATATGCGCCAACGTTGACTTGGTTTTCGAGTGAATTAATTGTGAACTCGTCGTATGTGTTCTTAACCCTACAAAGAAAAAACCATGATTAATGTATAAAAAACGCAAATAACAGCTTTAAATAGCTGATATGTCTACTAACCGATCGTTTGCAGCTTGTAAAAAATATTGCTTGAACTCGTCATTGAGCAATAGACCACTGCGTTTAATGTTTCCCAAAGAAAATTTTGCCTGGCGATCGAATGCAGCAAGCATTTGATTAATCTCATCAATCCAGCTCAACATTTTCCAATTTTCTTACTACATTTGAAAATACCGAATCGAAATGTTAATATGATTTTAGTAATGAAGAGAATCGTGTATTTTAGATAAGCAAGGCGACTAGTTGGTTGCTGTTATTGACACTTGGTGTCATAGCAGCATTAATACAAACACAGCAACATAGCAACAATAGAAATTAACCAATTAATTCGAGCCCAAGTCTGATTTTTATCATAAGACCCAAGTATGGTTTTTCCTCATACACCAGTGTGTAAAGGCCGCTAGTAACTTACTAGTAGTACGTTAATAAGGGAAAAGTTTTTTATATTGTTCAACTTTTTTATTTTTTGCCCAAAGAAATTTAACTAGACTCGATCAATAAATCCATGCCAAATCACAGATTGAATGCTTAATTTTGATTTATACATTAATTGGCCATTTCTCCTGTAAAATTCAATTTGGAACAATCTATCTAAGTGTACGAATCTACAGTGCCATAAAATAATGTTCTTACCTTGCTCACGTTTTGATGAATAATTTCCAACAAAATGAAATGCTCTTAAGCGACTAGTGGAATGTTTGGAATAAAATCAAGACAATAAAGTATTAATTCGATGAAAATGATGATGCTTCCAGATTTAATCGCGTGGAACACTTTGTTATGCAACAAGTTGAATAGATAGGGTGTCACCATCAAATACGAACCACCAACGAGCTGTCAAAATGAATTGGCTGTATTTCAGCAACAGAAACAGCGAATTTAGTTGCAGCGAAAGACAGGAAGAATTTAAATTTTTAGCGAATTGAATCAAAATTGAATGGAAGCTTTGAAAATATTTTAGTTTTCAACGATTGGTTGTTAATTCATACGATGAATAAAATGAGAAAATCAATTAACTTTATTCATTTTTAAAATATTGTAATTCACTTTATGACGCAGTAGAGTAAAGCATGAAAAAATGGAATAAATGTCGAATTTACATTTCACAGTGTATTTAGCTTAAACAATGTCTGTCTTTTTTCGCTTAATAAATGTGAATAAAAATCATAACTTCAAAGTTGACTCGACATTTTGTTGAACTTAACTAATTTTAACTTGTCTCCTTATTGTATTAATTCAATTTTCCATGTGCTATAGAAGCTTATATTTAATCGGTTTTCTGTAGGATTTTTTCTTAGATTCTTATGAATAGAATTTTGTTTGTATTATTCGGAAAATTTTTAACATTTTCTATTAGTTGTTGTCAATGAAGCGGATGTTCTGAAATTATCAGAGTATTGCTCAGCGCTGCTGCCATCCAGAGCATATTAAAATATCTTGCTGAGAATGCGACGTCCGTCGCATGCGAAGGTACGTAGCAGTTTATACATCACAGCGAACAACAATACATGCATTGTTCTCTATTCAATCGTTTGAATGTTTTGAGTCACATAATCGTGAAGAGAACAATGGATTCATTCTTGTTCGTTGTGATGTATAAACTGCTACGTACCTTCGCATGCGACGGACGACGCATTCTCAGCAAGATATTTTAATATGCTGTGGATGGCAGCAGCGCCGCTGAGCAATACTCTGGAAATTATTGATGATGAACGTGACCATTAAAGGTTGATTCTGTTATGAATGGTGTTCAAATGTGTTTTCAGGCTACTTTTATGCTTGAAGCAGTTCATACAAATCTCGCATCTATATGGTTTTTCACAGTTGTGCGTTCGCATATGTTTTTTGAAAACTTTTTTGTCACCAGTGACAAACTTTTTGCAAATATGGCATTCATATCGACGATATGAGCACACTTTTTCGTGGGCTTTTTGATCGGTCATCAGGGAAAATCCAGTGAAACATCCTCGGCAATGGAACGGAATTTCTTTGGTGTGAGTCATTTTGTGCTTTTTCATGTTTTGCAGAGTTGTGAATCCTTTGCGACAAATATCACATTGATATGGCTTCTCGCTGGTGTGAGTACGCATATGCAATTTTATGTTCCACTTTAGATCACTAGAGTATTCACAAAGTTGACACTTGAATTGCTTCTTCGACCGGTTTGATGAAATCAATTTTCCATGCGACGAAGATTTTGAACCTGATTCAGACCAAATTTTTTGATATCCTGCTGATCTTCCTGGCATTTTGTTACTTTTGGCACCATCAACGACCTTCGGTCTACTGTTTGTTGTGTTTACACCGTGATACATATTGAAGACAACTGGTGGGATTCCATCGTTCATTTTCTCCATCTTTACTGCGTTCTGGGTTTCAGTATGGCTTCCATCGTCATCAGATTGAACGTGATCGTTTAATTCAGGTGGTATGTCGTAATCATTGTACTGAGTAGTAGATAGCGCTTCGAATGATTTAAACTTCGTCTGATTTCCTGCGGGGTCCTCATCACCGCTTGAATCGATCGTTTCAACCGGGTCAGTCACATGTTTTCGAATATTCCTAATTTCATTTTGGGCATGGGTTGGGCTCAGTAACGGGGATTCATCGAATGTATACGGGCTTACATATGCACCAACGTTCAATTGCTCTTCCAACATTGAATTAATTTCAAATTGATCACAAGTTTCCTTGATACTGCAAAAGTATAAAAACTATGAGTGAATGAGGACAAATCATATGGAGAAATATACTTACCGAGTATTCAAAGCCCGTGCGAAATACTGTTTGAATTCGGCATTAAAACATAATCCATTTTGTTGGAATGCAATTTTAATGTTCTTCAATGAATATTTTACTTGGCGATCAAGAGCAACAAGCATATTATCCATTTCATCATTCCAGCTCAACATTTTTGGACTTTTTTTTAAAACTTCTTTTGACCTATTTTAAATACAAATTGAGACTGTTTAATGGAACGTTTACTGAAATAAAGTTATTAAAAATAACGTTTTTTTAAAATTTGGTGACATGCGTTAGACGGAATATAAGCCAAAAAATAATATACAGCGCCGATGAAAGGATGACCGAAAATAGTTTTTTGAAAGTTTTTTTAGAAGAAAGAACATTTTTCAATATCTATGCCACTCTTAGTTTCTACCTGGATCTTCCAGCAAATATGGGTCTTGAATCGTTTACTTAAGTGAAACTCGGGCTTTATCAAAAGTAATTACAATGGCAACGCAATATTAACAAGATGACATAAACTGTCAAACTGATTTTGCTCCCATTCAATTTGCCCTGCGTCGAATTCAATTCGCTACTATTTTCCAGTGACCGGTTCGCGCATATTTCTATGCCTGATAGCTATGCTAAGCATAGCGGAGACGCAAGCCGCAACGCACCCGTCGCTATTCGATTCGAGCTATAATGTATGCGCACGGTCGTCTGCATAAACGAACATGTGCATTGTTCATATAGAGTGAACGACGATGCGTCGGTTGCGTTTGCGGCTATGCTTGGCATATCTATGCTACCTAGCGTATTTAGGCAAACATAGAAATATGCGCGAACCGGTCACTGCTATTTTCTTTCGAACTTCTTCCGTTATATCGAAAAAAAACAGTTGATTCGTGTTTCCTGGCCCCGAAAACATCCAGAAAACATGTTTTTAGGGGTTCTTAATTCGATAACCGATTCCAATACTTTACTTAACCCAATCGATATGTGCGGAAAAGTAATAATCATACGTTTGGCCAACGTCATCAACACCTTCACCACCACCATCAACGACACCAACACCTGGTGGTTGTAGTTTTGTAAATGAATGACATAACGGAAAATGCGTTTAGGGATACGTGCATTCGAAAATGAAAAAAAAAATGTGAATTTTTGATTTAATTTAATAGCACACCTGGTGTGAAAAAAATGAAGTCACCCCAAAACATATTTTTTTAATAAAAGAGTTAAAGAATAAAGTTATAATTGATATAAATCAATCTGTTTCATTTACTTTTATGTATGCACGGGAAAATAAAAATGCACGTGAATTAGATTTTTAAATTCAATTGACTTTTATTGAAAACTTCAGAAAGAACTATACATGGAATTATTGAAAATATAAGAAATTCAATGTTTGTATGATTAATGTAGATTGCATTTACAATTCTTCAGACCGCCTTTATGTGCAAAACGCTTCATTCAAATTTCGCATCGGAACGGTTTGTTGCCGTTGTGTTTTTGCATATGGTTTTTAAACTTATTTTTGTCACCAGTAATAAACTTCTTGCAGATATGGCATTCATATCGATGTAATTTGCATACTTTTTCATGGGCTTTTCTTTCGACTTTCTGCGAAAATCCACTGAAACAGCCTCGACAATGGAATGGCATTTCGTTAGTGTGAGTCATTTTGTGCTTTTTCATGTTTTGCAGAGTTGTGAATCCTTTGTGACAATTATCGCATTGATATGGTTTCTCACCGGTGTGAGTACGCATGTGACATTTGAGGTTGGTGGGGTAATTGCTGGAATATTCACAAATTTGGCATTTGTATCGCTTCTTCACCACCAACTTTTTTGATGAAACTGAGTTTTTCTTCGCTGGAATTCCCTCCGTCATGTTGCTACTTTTGTCAACAGCATCGACGTTCACTTCATTGTTTGATGTGACACTAGATTCGTATTCATCCCTTAGGTCTATATCGCGATTCATATTGAATGGAATACCGTTGTCCTCTATTTTCATTGCATTGTTAATTTCGTTGTCGCTTCCATCACTTTGAACGTCATCGTTCAATTCAGGTGCTGCTCCGTGGTCACTGTACCGAGCAGTAGATAGCACATCCAATAATTCCTTTTCAATCAGATTGTCTGTTTGGTCATCCTCATCGCTTGAGTCGATGATTTCGACGAAGTCCTTGATCTCTTGTTGGGTATTGTGTTTGTCATAACATGAGACCACCATTGGAGATCCATAGGTTGCTAACATGGTCGGGTCCTCACTAGCATCGATTTTGCTCTTGAGTACTGAATTAATTTTGAATTGGTCATAAGATTCCTCGATGCTGCGAATGTATAACATAAAGAAATAAAATTCGATATTTGAGATTGGAGACTGTCTTACTCACCGGCTATTCGAAGAGCGTAGGAAATATTGCTTGAAGTCATCATCGAGTGATAAACCACAGCGTTTGAATGCCATTTCGATTTTTCCTAGAGACAATTTTGTTAGTTGTTCAAATGGATTGTTTTTTTTTTTTAATTTCAATTGTTCTTATTGAACAGCAAGCGTTTGGTTCATCTCGTCACTCCACCTCAACATATTCGGATGTTTGTCTACAATAGAATCGAAACCAAATGGAATTACAACTGGTTTTTGTGATCATATCATGTACAGTGAATCTAATATTTTTGGTAGACAAAATTTTGCATGACACACTCCACTCACACGCCATTGCTCTGCTTACTTTGCTTGTTATTTTGTCTATCAAAAAAATTAGATTCACTGTATTTTGACCCGACGAGCTAACTGGTCCGTTGCTGCCACACTTATTGAACACCACATAGTCAATGCGTATATGACACAGCTTTTGGTGCCCAAATAAGAACGTATGCTAATTGTATATTTTAGCCTAACCACAGTAGAAACTGATCAGAGAGCTCAAGTCTGGTTATAATTTTCATTCGAAAGAAGAAATAATAAATATTCGAAAAAGTTGAATTTTAAGCGAACAAATTTGTTAGTTGAAAGTCTCTTAACTTGCGACCACTATGCGTCATTTTAGTTTTTTCGACACATGACTTCAACATTTCACCCATAAATTTATCAAATTCAAACTTTTTTTTAGTGAAAATAGCTAGACTTAATCAATGACTTCTAGATAGGAAACTCAAAAATTATTGGAAAAATTTTGATTTATTTATGAAATTTTGAAAAAAAGTACCCAATCGGACCAATGGCTCGAATCTAGACATCGTAATAAAATATTGTTCTTACCTTGTTCAATGTTCACGGTATGATAAATAATTTCCAGCAAAATGAAATGCTCTTATACGATTAGTGGAATGATTGAAATGAATTGAAGACAAAAAAGTGGGGTTTCGATGAAAATATGAGTTTATTTCTTTAATTTTGTTGCTTCGAGATTAAGACGTGTTGAAGATGAATTGTACAACAAGTAATATAGAAAAAATGACTCCATTTAATGTTAACCATAAATTACAGCAGAACTAAACTGTCAAAATAAATTCGCTGCATTTGTTTTCTAGACACAACGAAATCAGTTTCGCCGAGTTCTCGAAAGAACTTCACAGTTGAGGCGAATTAAGTTATATTTGAATGGTTTATGGTTATATTTAACGACTAAAACTATTTTATTAACATGGGTGAAAAGTTTTAAAAGTTGATTCTGGTGTGGATGGTGTCCAAATGTCTCTTCAGATTATTTTTCAATGTGAAACGCTTCATACAAATCTCACATCTATACGGTTTTTCACCGTTGTGCTTTCGCATATGAATTTCCAAATGAGTTTTAACCACAGTGACAAACTTCTTGCAAATATGGCATTCATATCGACGATATTTGCACATTTTTTCATGGGCTTTGTGGTCGACCTCTTGGGAAAATCCAGTGAAACAACCTCGACAATGGAACGGGATTTCATCAGTGTGAGTCACTTTGTGCTGTTTCAAGTTACCTGGCTGGGTGAATCCTTTACGGCAGATATCACACTGGTATGGCTTCTCGCCAGTGTGAGTATTCATATGACGATTGAAATGCCCCTTGTGGTTGCTGAAATATTCACAATGTTGACACTTAAATCGCTTCTTCATCACCGTTTGGTTGGATGAAAATGATCGTACATTCGATGATGATTTTGGAGTAGAACCAGATTTTTTTGAAGATCTAGCTGATTTTCCTGTCATATGGTTATGTTTAGCGGCATTAAGTGCGTTTCGTCCTTTGCTGAATGTTTTCGTTGATGTTTCTTCGTCTACTATTTGTAAGTTGCGATGCATATCGAAACCAACCAACGAAATATCACCACCCGCTTTCATCTCGCCATCAGTTTCATCAGTGTATTCAGAGTTACCCCTCGAAGCATGTGTTGGCCAAGCAATTCCCTTTGAGTACATGTCTGGCAGTTTAATATCGTTTTCATCGTTTCCAAATTGAATATCATCGTTCAATTCAGGTGGTATATCATTATCATCGTTCTGAATGATAGATGCCATTGCCAAGGATTCCAATTTCACCCGATCTTCTTCTTCTTCTTCATCGCTTGATTCAATGACTTCGACTGGGCCATTGAGCTCTTGTTGCATATTGTTCATGTCACGACTTGGACTATAGATTGAGTTCATCATCTGGTATACATCGGTTGCTGACGTGCTCACCTCCAAAGCTCGATCTTCAAACATTGAAATAATTGTGAATTCGTCATACGTATTCTTGATCCTACGATAAAATCAAAATTAAAGTTTCAATGGGAAACGATTTGAAATTGCCTATACCATCACCAACCGGCTAAGCCTATGAAGAGACAAAATGCGAATTCCCCTCATCTGTGCCATCTTGTATTCCATAGTTGAACTCAATTTAGTTACAATGAATTGAATCGAAAAAGAGAAAAAAAACAACAACAGTAACATGGCTACATAGATCTGTTGACCAGTGAGATACGTATAGCAATGGAATGAAAGAATGAAGAAAGCGTATATGTGTATGTATGCATCAGCACGCATAGATGTACAGCTCTGTGTGGCCGTGCTATTGTTGTTGTTTTTTCACTTTTTCATTTCAATGCTACAGAATTAAATTCAGTTTTTGCATCTAATTCACACTAAAATCAGATGGCGCTCATTAGCGAGATTCGCAAAAAAAAGTCTCCAATCTCATACAAATATACACCGGCTGACCATCACTCACCGTTCATTTGAAACGCACAAGAAATACTGCCGGAACTCAGCATTGAGCGATAGACCGTTGTTTTTAAGTGCCAATTTAATATTGCCGAGAGAATATTTTACTTGTCGATCGAACGCAATAAGCATTTGGTTCATCTCGTCACTCCAGCCCAACATTTTTAGATTTTCAACTAAATTGGCATACACCGAATCGAAAAACGATTTTAGTAGGAACTAATAATAAAGATAATCACGTATTTTAGCTAAGTGTCCCGTTGCTGCTTTGTTCGATTTTTTCTAGCTAGTGGATATATGATAATGATCGAAATTTAAGGGAGGTCCATCCGTCTATCAAAGTCCCTAGAAAATTGAAAGAATTTTTATCGTAAAAGACCCTAGCAAAATATCCATACTAGTAGATGTACAGCGACAACATGTTTCAATTGTATTTTTCACCAAACCAAAATACCTACGTTTTAATAAATAATTTCCAACGGGATGTTTGAATTGAATTTGTTTCAATAAAGTATTAATGCGATGAAAATATGAGTTTATTTCTTTAATTTTGATGCTTCCAGATAAAAATGTGTCAAGCACGTGTTTCTGCAACAAATGGAATTAGAACAAATGACGACATTGAATGCGAACCATCAATTTAATGCGGACAATGTGTCAAAATAAATTCGCTGAATTCTAGATGCAGCGAAATCAGCTACGTCGATAGACTGTGGCCGTACTTCTCCGGTACCAATAACAGCTCTGTCAAAGTTATAAAATATTTCTTCTATTGTTTTCACTCCATTTCAGCGCCTGACGATATTTGCCTGTGCTGATACAGGCTGAATCATTCAGCTTGTTGAAAATATCTCAATATAATGTCTGGCCATCATACTTTTCCATTAAAGACGCCATATTGGTTTTTATTTTTGTAAAGGGAGATAGAGATGTATCTTTCTTTCTTCCAAATTTAAGAAATTATCATAAACGGAATTAGAACCGTTTTCTATGCAATTCTCAATGTATTTTACGAAATTATTGAACTTACCTTTTGCTTTGTTCTTTCAACAAAACCGGCACAAATGTAAATTTTATTCTGGATCGTTTTTTCGAATCGAAACTTTTACTTTTCCGCACACACCTAGTGTGTAAGGTAAAGTATTGGAATCGGTCGAAAAATTAACACCCATAAAAAATGTGTTTTTTGGATGTTTTTGGGGCCAGAGAACACGAATCTAGCGTTTTTTCGATGTCCGAATGTATGTGCGTACCCTGTACCCTGTACGCTGTACCCTGTACGCAAAAATTTGTTAACACGATAACTTTCAAACAAGAAAAGTAATTCAAAGTCTGACTTCACAGGATGATTGGGGGTGCCGAGGAATAGAAACAATTAGATTTTGAGCGACTTTGGTTGACAAGGTAAAGTGTCATGTCTGGTGTGATGCCCATGTCCATCCATGGGAAAAATTCAATTTTTCTTCCAAAAGTGATATTTAATGTATTCTTAAACCGAATATGACGTTAGTTTTGCGATACAATTCATTTTCGACACACTTTTCATACAAAAAATTCATGAGCTGAAAATTTGCACAGGTTATTTTTATCACACATAAATACCATTCCGAGAGTTTGAAGACATTTCAACAAATATCAGGGGCACCTCCCGAACAAAATTTTGGATTTTTCGCTCTAAAACGAAATTTTGTATGGGAAGTACCCTTAATATGCATTGAAATTTCTTCAAACTTTCAAAATGTTAACTTTTTGTGAAAAAAATATTCTCTGCAAATTTTCACATGAATACGATATCATATAGGCATGGCTCCGATACAAAAATTCCCATCTTTAGTAGTTTTTGTAAGCTAAAAATAATGTCAGATTCAGTTTTCTCGTGATTTATTTGAGTAAAAGATTTGTAATAAATGCATGTCGTGGATCACAGTGCGGAAAAGTTCATCTTACGGATGTAAGACATTTTATTTTTTAGATAAATCGGAAATAGTGTTTTTTCTAACGAATTACTGAGATGTTTGATAGGCTTTTATAAATATTTGGATATTCAGAAAATAAACCAGAACACGTGCTGTGTTTAAGACGCCGTATGATAAAAATGACTATGTAATAATATTGAAGCGATGCCTTTGGCTGTAAAAATGAACTTTCGCCACACTCGATAGAGTGAATACATTGCCTTGAAACAAATTCAATTCGCTATTGTAATTTTCAAACATCTCTCACCAAACTCGACCGTTAAATCATTTTTAGAGGATCAATTGAAACCAATTTCGGGCTAATTCCTTGATCTGTAGCATGAACAAAATAGCAATTGTTTTGGATTTTATTGATATTTATTGAAATTATTGAAATTATAAGTATGTCAATATAATATTTTGAATTAATGTCTAGCCCGTATGTATCGCTATGTATTGTATTATCGATGATTGTGTAAATTACAAAAGAAACTGGCTTGAATGGTCGAATTTATGGGTTGATTCTGGCGTGGATGTCGTTTAAATGTGTCATCAAGTTTTGTCTCCTTGTAAAACGCTAAATCTAACAACGAAACGGTTTTTCACGGAAGTGCGTTTGCATATGCACTTTCAACATAGTTTTACCCACAGTGACAAACTTCTTACAGATATGGCATTCATATCGACGATATTTGCACACTTTTTCATGTGCACTTTGATCGGTCTTCTGGGAAAATCCAGTGAAACATCCTCGACAATGGAATGGAATTTCATCAGTGTGCGTCACTTTGTGCTTTTTCATGCTTTGCAGGGTTGTGAATCCTTTGCGGCAAATATCACATTGATATGGTTTCTCGCCGGTGTGAGTACGCATATGCAAATTTATGTTCCCCTTTTGATCACTGGAGTATTCACAAACTCGGCATTTGAATCGCTTTTTCATCTCCTTCTGGTTCAATGAACTCGATCTTTTATTTCTTTTTGATTGTTGAATCAAACCCAATTCAGCCGCTTCTTTTGGACATTCAGTTGATCTTCCTGTCGATCTGTTAATTTTGGCACCATCAACGACTTTTGATCTATTGTTCGATGTGGCAGTGGATGTACTTTTATTTGTTGAGTCCATTTGGCGACCATCGACTACAATCATACCGGTGATTGCGCTAGCCGCTTTATTTTTGCTACTATCTTGACCTTTGTTCGTAACCGCTTCGTGATAATCAATGCCAATTAAGTTCGTATCTGGCAGTTCGTCGGCATAGCTTCCATCGTCGTCATTTTCAAATACATCATTTAACTGAAATGTTTCGCCATGACAATGGTCAAATGGTGTTTCCATTTTAATCCGATTTCCTGGTTGATCTTCTTCATCATTTGAGTCGATGATTTCAACCGGATCATCCATTTGATTTTGAAAACCGTTAAAGTCGTGATTTTCGGTAGAAATTGAGTTCATCATCGCGAATTTATCTATTGAACAAGAATGGCTCTCGAAAATTGAATTGATTTCGAATTCATCATATGAGTTCTTGATCCTGCACAAAATTAACAATATTTTATTATTGATTTATGATTGTTCATAGTTTTACTCACCGTTCATTTGAAACGCGCAAAAAGTATTGCTTGAATTCAGCATTGAACGAAAAACCATCGCGTTGGAATGCATTATTAATATTTTTCAAGGAAGCTTGTACGTGGCGATTAAGCACTCCGAGCATATTATCCATCTCTTCACTCCAGCTCAACATTTTTGGACTCGTAACTACGTTGGGAATAGATCGAATTCAGATAAAATTGACGATTTTTTCTAGCAATAACCAAAAAAGTCTAGTGTCTAAAAGAAGTGACTCAAATATATATATAGCTGGCTAAATTGATTAAAGTTGATGGGTTGTCATACAAATTTTAAAAATAATCGTAGTCGACTATTTTGGGACGTTGGTGCATGCAAAGTTCTCAAATTATTCACTGACTAGGTTGTCGATATTTTTTGACGTAATTGACTTAGGGTGAATGTATGCAATTGAACTAGTAAACGTTCTAAGTTGCCAGTATGGTTTTTACAAGTGGACTCTATTTTTGGATAGCTCATACTCATTATTCCCAACAAAATTTCACTATTTTTTGTCTGTAGACTTTTTTCTGTTTTAACAGAATCGGTGTTTTCTAGTCAATGTCATATTTGGCACATTTTTACTCAAACAAACTTCTTCTTACCTTGCTCACGTTTTGATAACAAAAAATTTCCAATAAAATAAACTGCTCTTATGCGAATAGTGGAATGTTTGGAATGAATTCAAGACAACAAAAGTATTATTTTGATGAAAATATGAGTTTATTCTTTGCTTTGGATACAGCTAGCTTAAAACGTGTTGAGCACGTATTGCGCACAAAGTAGAATATAAAGAACCATAAATGTCAGCAGCAACAAGCTGTCAAAATAAATTCGCTGCTTTGGTGTTCTACACACAGGCGAAATCAGCTGTGGTGCGAGAAAACCGGATAGAAATTTAACTGTCGAGAAAATTAAGCATTCAATTGTAGATTTGAAAATATTTTCATTTATTTAATTATTATTTATAAATTGATTCTGGTTGTTTCCTTCTTGAATGAGTCCTATAAAATGAACACCAGAATGAAAATATCGCTTATCTCAAGTTCATTGGATGTATTTTGATATATTAAACAATATTTGGAAATGTTGAAATTCTAAATGGGTAAACTAAATGATAATTTTTGAATTATGAACGAGATTATGTTGAGTGATAGGAATTTATGGATTGATTCTAGTGTGGATGGTATTCCAAATGAGCCTTCAAACTGCCTTTCTGTGTGAAACGCTTCATGCAAATCTCGCATCCATACGGTTTTTCACCGTTGTGCGTTCGCATATGTCTTTTGAAATCATTTTTGTTGGTAGTGACATACTTTTTGCAGATATGGCATTCATATCGACGTGATTTGCATACTTTTTCATGGACTTCTTGGTCGGTCTTCTGCGAAAATCCAGTGAAACAACCTCGACAATGGAACGGGATTTCATTAGTGTGAGTCACTTTGTGCCTCTTAATGCCTTTTGCTTCGGTGAATCCTTTTTGGCAAATATCACATCTATATGGTTTCTCGCCTGTGTGAGTACGCATATGACGATTGAAATGCCCCTTGTGGTTGCTGAAATATTCACAATGTTGGCACTTGTATTGTTTCTTCCCTTTCGACTGCTTTGAAGAAATCGATTTTTCATTCGGTGAAGATTTTGCAATCGAACCTGACGCATCCCGTTTTCTTTCAGTCTTCGTTGATCTTCCTATGATTTTGGCACCATTGGCACCATCAACGACTTTCGTTCCATTCATGTTTTGCATGTCATCAGTGTAGCTTCCATCCTCGTCAGTTTGACCAACATCGTTAAGTTCAGGTGGCGGTACGTCATGGTCATCGTACTGAACGGAAGAGAGCGCTTCCAATAATTCCATTTTAACCGGATTGTCTGCTTGGTCTTCTTCATCGTTTGAGTCGATTACTTCGACCAGGTCATTGATGTCTTGTTGGGCATTGTTCGTGTCATAATTGGTAGTATAAATTGAGCCCACTATCGGCGATTCATAAGTTGTGCTCTCTGCAGCAATCATGTTTACTCGGTTCTTCAACGTTAAATTGACTTTAAATTGATCATAAGAATCCTTGATTCTGTGAGTAATTGAAATGGTTCGATTAGTAAAGGTAATCAAATGGAACGGAGTGATTTACAAACCGGTTATTTGAAACTTGTAGAAAGTACTGCTGGAATTCATCATTGAATGATAGGCCATCGTGTCTGAATGCCATTTCGATGATGCTCAGAGAAATTGTTACCTGCTGATCGAATTTGGCCAGCATATTATTCATCTCCTTTCTCCAGTCCATCGTTGATGCATTCATCTATGTTAGAAAACCGGGACAGATTACTGTGAGTTACAAGCATTCACAAAGTGATTCATCAATACAAATCATCGAATGATGCTTGCAATGATTTGTATCGATGTATAACTTTGTGAATGCTTGTTGCGTTTATTTGATATCTTTTTCGAATGATGGTATTAATCATGGGCACGCTAGTGTCCTTGCTATTTGAATAATTTTTATATAGTCCCCAGTGTAATTTATTGTGAAATTATGCAATTTTTGTACCATTCTTACCTTTTACTTTGATTCTAGTGGAAATCAACGACAATTATGAATTTTCTTCTGGTTATTGGTTGCAGAAAAGCAAAATTCTTCGTGGATAACGAATTTCGGGAGTGTTGGGATCGAATGCTATTTTTGCGATCTCTTGAGATTTTCAACTCCTTCAATTGGTGTTTGATTGATTAATATCGTATTAGATTCAGAAAATTAAATTAAAAATGTGCTTTGCATAAGGCGAAGTGTGATGACGATTCAATATTAGGATATACCATGAGCTGTCAAATTAGACTTTTGCCTTATTCAATATTGTCTTGCGACGAATTCAATTCGCTGCTTTCAAATTTTTTCGTCGAAATTGAACGTTATTATCAAATAGAGAAAATAATATTATTCTATTAATTATCTAATCTTGTTTCAGTTTCAAATATTTTTATACTGGAAATTCCTCATAAAAATGAACTAGTCTTAATTTTAATAGTATTTATTGAAGATAAGAAGTAAAATAACATTTTCCAATTTATTTTTCTATTGAATAAAGTGTATTAACTGTAATGAATTATTGTTTATTATTTATAGATTGATTCCGCTCTCATTGGGCTTATTGTTAATTCAGTTAAATCTCTTAGAAAATAACGTTATTCAGTGTTGAATGTCAATGTGGAAATGTTTTATTGATTGACTGGATTCTTCAACGTTTATTTGAAATCATGAAGAAGATAAGATATATTAGGTGATTGGATTTATGGGTTGATTTTGGTATGAATGTGGTTCAAATGCTTCTTCAGATGACCTTTCTGTGTAAAACGCATCATGCAAATCTCGCAGCGAAATGGTTTTTCACCGTTGTGCGTTCGCATATGCTGTTTGAAATTATTTTTGTTAGCGGTGACAAACTTCTTACAGATATGGCATTCATATCGACGATACTTGCACACATTTTCATGGGCTTCTTGATCTGTCTTCTGGGAAAATCCTGTGAAACAACCTCGACAATGGAACGGAATTTCATCAGTGTGAGTCACTTTGTGCCTCTTAATGCCTTTTGCTTCGGTGAATCCTTTTTGGCAAATATCACATCGATATGGTTTCTCACCGGTGTGAATACGCATATGACGATTGAAGTGGGACATGTAATTGCTGGAGTATTCACAAAGTCGGCATTTGAATCGATTTTTCGCAGCTTTCTTTTTGCTACTATCTTGACCTTCGTTCGAAACCTCTTCATGATAATCAATGCCAATTAAGTTCGCATCTGGCAGTTCGTCAGCATAGCTTCCATCGTCGTCATTTTCAAATACATAATTTAACTGAAATGTTTCACCATGACCATTGTACTGAATGCCAAATGGTATTTCCGATGTTTCCATTTTAATCCGCTTTCCCGGTTGGTCTTCTTCGTCACTTGATTCAATTATTTCAACCGGATCATCCATTTGATTTCGAATGCCGTTAAAGTCGTGATTCTTGATGTAAGTTGAGGTCATCATCTGAGATCCATCAGTGGCGGCGTTGATTTGGCCCTCAAACATTGAATTGATTTCGAATTCATCATATGAGGTTTTGATACTGCACAAAATTAACAATATTTTATTATTGATTGACGATTATTCTTATTTTTACTCACCGTTCATTTGAAACGCGCAGAAAATACTGCTTGAAATCAGTATTGAGCGATAAACCATTGCACTGGAGTGCCATTTTAATATTGGCCAATGAATACTTTGCCTGGTGATCGAATGCATCAAGCATTTGCTTCATCTCGTCATTCCAGTTCAACATTTTCGGATTTTTTGCTACTTCAGAATAGACTGAATTGAAATAAAACTGATATAAAGAAGAGAATCACTCCCAAATAAATTGCTCAATGTATTTCTTTCTATTATAAACTACTCTCAATTAATGAGAAATTACATTATTTTAAATTTCAAAAGTAGAAAGAATAATTTAGATTCATTTACATGAAATTGTTTGGAACAAACTATCTAATACCACGAACTCAGACAGCCCCACAAACTATATCTTCCTTACCTTGTTCACGTTTTGGTGAATAATTTCCAGCAAAATGAAATGCTCTTATGTGAATAGTGGAATGTTTAAAATGAATTCAATCAAATAAAGTATTAATTCGATGAAAATATCAGTTTACAGTGTATTTCTTTAAATTTAATGCTTCCAGATTGAACGTGTGCTACAACTCATGGAATAGCATTAATGATTATATTTTTTCAGAGATTGATAAACTGTCAAAAGTAATTCGCTACATTGTGGTTTTCTCTCTACGCAGCGAAATCAGCGAAAAATCATAATTGAATCCTTGCGGCGAAGTTTTGTTTTACTTTTCGCTCCAAATAATACTGTAACAAAAAGTTTTTTTTAACATATTGCAACAAGTAAACTATATATAAAAACGTTATGTTGCGGTATTATTTTGAGCAAAATAAGAGCTATTACTTTTCTTCTCTACAATGAATCAATTCTCAAATACTTTTTCTACTTCATTAATTTACATGAAAGTTTTTTGTGTCATAAAATATTTTTAAATTATATCGTTCGTTGGTGTGTTAGATGAATCTTCATTGATTGTTTCTGGTGTGGATGGTGTCCAAATGCCTTTTCAGATGATATTTTCGTACAAATACCTTCATACAAATTCGACATCGAAACGGTTTTTCACCGTTGTGTTTTCGCATATGAATTTTCAAATGGGTTATATCCAGACCGACATACTTCTTGCAAAAATGGCATTCATATCGACGTGATTTGCACACTTTATAATGGGCTTTTTGGTCGACCTCCAGGGAAAATCCACTGAAACAACCACGGCAATGGAATGGAATTTCATCAGTGTGAGTAATTTTGTGTTTTTTCATGTGTTGCAGAGTTGTGAATCCTTTGCGGCAAATATCACATCGATATGGTTTCTCACCAGTGTGAGACCGCATGTGGCGTTTGATTAACCAATTGTAATCACTGCAATAATCACAAAGTTGGCACTTGAATCGCTTCTTCATCGGCAACCTGTTTGAAGCACCTTCTTTCGAAGTTTTCGTTGATCTTGCTGTTATTTTTGTACCTTTGGTATGACTCACGATGTTTGATTCGTTGCTCGACGTGACAGTGGATGTGTATTTGCTCGCTATGTCCATATTTGGTACGTTCACTGGATTTTCTTCCACTTTCTGTGGGTCAGTATAACTTTCATCCTCGTCAAGTTGACCATTATCGTTTAATTCCGGTGGTGTGTCATC